AAGAATACAAGGCTGCTCTTCACTCAGGTCATTTCCCAAGAGGGCTGAGTTTGCAGCAAGAAACCTTGAGGGGTGAGGACACACCTCCCTCTGGGACAACAAACAGGTTTGCTTGCTGCTTACTGTAAAAGTGGGGGATTCCCCAGTGTTCCTCTCCTATAACACAACCCATGACTACGCAGGGACGCGTTAGGGCCCTCCAGGTCACCTCTGTGGGACTCGGGAAGCAAGAGGAACTGATGCAAACAAACATGCTGATGCCCATGCTGCTTGCTGTTCTGTGAGTGATGCAGCCTTTTGCTTCTCACCCAGAAGTCTCGTGTCTTCAACGTATTACTTATAAATAGGTAAAATCAAATCCTAAACCTAAGGATATGTTACTTACAACAGGAAGGACCTAGAAAGTTTAAGTAGGAGAATGGAAAAAATATGCCATGCAAAAAGCAACCAAATGAAAGCTGGTATAGCTATATTAATGTTAGACAAGCTAGTGCTTCAAGGCCAGAAGCATATCTAGACTTAAAGAGAGACATTTCTAAATAACTGAAAAAATCCATCCATCAAGAAGGTATATAATAATTCTATGTTTGTATGCTTTTAATAACATGGTCTCAAAATACACAAAGCAAAACTTGATAGAACTAAAAGAAGAAATAAGCCTATAACACACTCAGATTTCTTTAAAAACACACCTCTCTCAGTAACTGATAGAACAAGCAGGCAAAAAGTGAGAATATAAGGGATTTGAACAAATAATTAACAATTTATTAACACTAAGTTATATGTGTGTATATACATATGATGGTACCTAACTTCTACAGAATACACAATCTTTTCAAGTACATGTGAAACATGTACCATAAAAGTCCTGACAAATTTCAAGGGATTTTCTTCATTCAGAGTACTTCTCTGACCATGGTGGAACAAAGCTAGAAGTTAATAACAAAAAGATAAGAAAGATGCCCAAATGCTTGGAAATTAAGAAACCCACTTCTTAAAAGGCATTCTTGTTTTTTTTTTTAAATTGAGGTGAAATTCACATAACAAAGTTAACCATTTTAAAGAGAACAATTAAGTGGTATTTAGTGCATTCACAAGTTTGTGTAACCACCACCTCTATTAAGCTCCAAAACATTTTCAAAGAAAATGAAAAAATGTGTTTAAAAAAGTCCCAATGGAAATTAGGAAACATCTTGAACTGGATGTTAATGAAAACATGATATGGGATGTGCACGATATAGCTAAAGCTGTGCTGAAAAGTTATTATACATTACTTTTGCCCATATAAATTTTAAAATTCAGCTTAAATGGACAAATTCCTATAAAAACACAACTTACCAAAACCAACACAACAAGAAACAGAATAGTCTTATACCATTTAATAAATTAAATCTGAAATTTAAAACCTCACAAAGAGATCTCCAGGCTTAGATGACTTCACTGGTAAATTGTTCCAAATGCTAAAAAAAGAAATAATACCACTTTTACAAAATCTCTTCCAGTAAAAGAAGAAGGAGAGAATACTTTCAACTCAATTTATAAGGTGAGCATAATCTAGATACCCAATCTGATAAAAGTAATATCATCATCATCTTAATAATTATAGACCAATCTCTATAATTCTCACAGATGCAAGAATCCTAATAAAAATATTAGTAACAATACAGCAATTATTTTAAAATTATTAGGAATGTGAGGTCACTTGAATATTTGAAAAACCAATCAATGTGAGAACCTCTGCTTCTGCTCATGAAGTAGTAACTCATCATCCCACTAAAATCAACTAGAAAACTGGACAAAATATACGAAGCAACTATTTTCAGACGTTGAACAACAGGCAGCAAAGGTCTTTGATCCCTGAAAGAAAGGAAACACAACAAAACAAGGTGAGCCCTGTGATTGCCCTGGCTTTTTGCGGAGAGGTAATTTCCAAACTGCAGCAAAGGGAAGGAGAACCTAAGTAGAAGCCCAGCAGTCTCACCGACTTTAGGAACTAAAACGTGAGGAGGCTGAGCTGGGTGGAATTTGGGGGCAGAGTCTATGAAAGGAGAGAGTTATGCATAGGAAGAACTCCAGAAGTCTGAAGAGGGGTCCCCTCAAGTCTTTGGCTGAATACTAATCTATACATGCACAGTGTGAAACTCCATGAAGTCAATTGAATAACAACTGCCTGGGAGCTATAAGCTAAACATTTCCCAGAGCTCACCTTGATGAAAATCAAGGTTTAAATTTCTACCAGCTCGAGTAGAGACACCTCATTTAACACCTGGGGCAGTGACCACAGAAAGGTCACAATTTAGTGAAAGAGCTAAACTAGTCCTAGAGTAAAGTACTCTATACCTGTGTAACAAAGCTTAAAAACAAACATCAGAAAGGTCAGCTAATACCCACAAGTCACTGCCTGCTAATAAAGACTGCTTCAACAGTCTTTAAAGGAAGACAACAAAATCCAAACATTCAACAACATAGCATTTGTAATTTCCAGTATTCAACTAAAAATTTATTCGGCATGTAAAGAGTAGCAATTTTGGCCCATGACGAGAAGAAAAAAAAAATCAATAGAAAAATAAACCAAGGGACTTCCTTGGTGGTTAGAATTTGCCTGCCAATGCAAGGGACACAGGTTCGAGCCCTGGTCTGGGAAGATCCCACATGCCGCAGAGCAACTAACCACGTGCGCCACAACTACTGAGCCTGCTCTCTAGAGCCCGCGAGCCACAACTGCTGAGCCTGTGTGCCACATCTACTGAAGCCTGCGCGCCTAGAGCCCATGCTCCGCAACAAGAGAAGCGACCGCAATGAGAAGCCCACGCACCACAACGAAGAGCAGCCCCCGCTTGCCACAATTAGAGAAAGCCCGCACACAGCAACGAAGACCCAACACAGCCAAAACTAAATTAAAAAAGAAAAAAAAGGTTGAAAAATAAACCAATGCAATTCACCACATTAACAGAATAAAGGAGAAAAAGCATATAATCATGTTGAGGATACACTGAAAAAGTATTTGTGAGATTTCAACATCCATTCATGTTAAAAACAATGACAACAACAACACTTGGCAAATTAGGCATAGACGGAAACTCTTAAAATCTGATACAGGGTATCACAAAGACCTATAGCAATAGGTGAAATATTAAAAGCTTTGTCCCTAAGATTCGGGGGAAACAAAGATACTCATTTTGATTGCCTCCATTCAACACTGTACTGGAGGTCTTCAATAAGCCAATAAGCAGAAAAGGGAAGTAAAAGGCACAGAGATTAAAAAGGAAATAAGAAGTATAATGATCAAAAAAGAAGAAATAAAACTACCATTATTCACAGATGACATAATTATGTATGTAGATAACCCAAAATAATCTACTGTCATACTATAATAAGTGAATTCAACAAGATCACTACATACCAGGGCAATATACAAGAAAGATACTGTATCTCTATATACCAGTAACAAATAATGACAAAACATAATAAAATGTAGTTTTAAAAGTACCATTTATAGTAGCATAAAAAATGAATAAATTTAACAAAAGATGGCCAAAACCTTTATCTAGAAAACTACAAAACATTATTGAGATTAAAGAATGCTTAAGTAAATGGAAAGAAACACCATATTCCTAAATGATAAAGACATCAGTTTTCCTCCAGATTGACCTATAGAATCAATACAATCCCAATAAAAATCCAAGCAAGTATTTTTTCGCTTTTTTTTAGAAGTGACAGGATGATTCTAAAGTGTATACACAGATTAAGAGTGGCCAGTATCTTGAAGAATATAGCTAAGGGAGAATACACAACCAGATGTCAAGGTTTAATGTAAAGCTGCAGTAATTAAAACAGTTAAATGTTGGCACAAGAAAACTATACCAATGGAACAATTCCAGAAACAGACCCACACATATACAATTACTTGATTTATGACAAAGATTACAGTATAGTGTTGAGGGAAAGAATGATCTAATAAATAGTGCTCAGTTAATCTTGATTCCTACCTCATGTCATTACAATCTATTTGAGAAGGCAGACAAAAAAAAGTACATTTTGTATGATTCCATTTTTATGTAGCTCAAAAGCAGGCCAAACTACCCATGCCCAATATTCATAGTACCATGTCAATTTAAGAGAACCACTTGACCAATTTAATTTCTCAAGTGTCAATGACAGTTGACATTCATGAGTCTTTTCACCAAAGCTACGACTATATTTCTGCAGAGGAAACACATTCTCTACTTGCTCAGATGAGCCCATTCATTTAATGAGCCCAACTAGACCAAGAGTTGCAATGGCGACCTCTAAAAAACCACAACTGACTTCTGTAATTGCATTAAGAGCATCTTGCTTTGAGTTGTTTTAGAAACAGACGCTTGCTCCTGGGAACTTTAGCTCACACAGATGTTCTTTTCAGCTCCCAAATGTGCTAACGTTGGGTTTGCGGCAGGTAGAGTTAAACTGGAAGGCTGAACCAGGCATTCCTCATTTTATTGCACTTCACTTTATTGTGTTTTGTAGATACTATGTTTTTAACAAATTGAAGGTTTGAAGCAACCTTGTGTCAAGTAAGTCTATCAGTGCCACTTCCCCATGGGCATTTACTCACTTTGTGTCTCTGTGTCACATTTTGGTAATTCTTACAATATTTCAAACTTTTTCATTATTGTTATATTTATTATGGTGATCTGTGATCCTGCATGTTATTACTGCAAGAAGATTATGACTCGCTGAAGGCTCAGATGATGGTTAGCATTTTTTTTTGCAATAAATTATTTTTAAATTAAGGTATGTATGCCTTTTTAGACATAATACTATTTAGCATACTTAATAGACTACAATATAGTATAAAAATAACTTTTATATGCACTGGGAAACTGAAAAATTAGTGTGACTCTCTTTATTGTGATATTCAATTTATTGCAGCAGTCTGGAATGAACCCACAATATCTCTGAGGTTTGCCTATAATGGCAACTTAAAGTACAGGTCTTGGTAAATTCTAACTTTTCCCTTATCATATATTACATTCGTTTAAAACTGTTGTTATTTAAACTGTTCTGACTTTGCCTAAAACTAAAACAGCGTTAGGATAATTCACATTTTGGCACTTAAATACTACTTACTATAGCCCCTCCTCATTATATGTTTCTCATACCTTTTTCAATCCAAAACAAGTATTAATTTGGCTTTCACCTGTAAGTATAAGCACTGTAACATTAAAGCATATTTTTTCATAGACCTCTTATTTCCTATCCTGATTTTGGCAACCTGGTCTCCTCTCTGGTATTCTAAACCTGAGAGGAATTCTTTAGTAGGCTTCTCTTACTCATCTGTGAAATATTAAGTGTTGCTCCTTCCACTTTGATTTGTTTCAAGCAAATAAGTTTAAAGAACAGCAAGGTAAGGAATTTGCCTGAATGTCAGATGGTGGTTCTGGTCCCAGTTCAACTAACCATAGTGTCCTAGGCAAACAACCCAATGCCTCAGTGTTCTCACCTATGAACTATGGCATTGTTGCCTGACATACAGTAGGTACTCAGTCTATGAATGCAAAAGAATTAGATCGTTTCAAAGACACCTTCCAACTTTTTACTATTTTTTTTTTTTTTCCGCAGTACGCGGGCCTCTCACTGTTGTGGCCTCTCTCATTGCAGAGCACAGGCTCTGGACTCGCAGGCTCAGCAGCCATGACTCACAGGCCCAGCAGCTCCGTAGCATGTGGGATCCTCCCAGACCGGGGCACGAACCAGTGTCCCCTGCATAGGCAGGTGGACTCCCAACCACTGCGCCACCAGGGAAGCCCCAACTTTTTACTATTTTTAATTCAATTCACTTCTGTGAAAAGTAGTCAACCAGCAAAATAAAATGCAAATTAACTAGCTCTATTCTTGTTCCACTACTATTCTTGGGGAAGTCTGGGATTATAGAAGAAATCAGCACTGGAAAGTGCTACTAGAAGATTAAAATGGGTAATGAAAATACCATAATACAGTAACCACATTTATTGTAAATAACTGAACTAAAAACCAGAAGAAAACTCCCCTCAAAATGAACCAATGAATGAGAGTAGAAAAAGATAATATTTTATACGACCACTTCCTATCAAGAACTCTTGACTTTTTTAAAAAGGTCAATAAAATCAGTTTCTCAAAAGAGACATTTATATTAAACAAGGTATCTCCCAAGGAGAAGCAGCTACCACTGAGGTTCTTGCACTTAGATTTACTGCAAGAAGAGTGTTGTGTGAATGTACGACGTAAGTCAAAGATAGAGAGAAAGAGGATGGTGGGGACCATTATCTCTGGAGATCAACCAAGAGAGAATTCAACATGTCCTATGCAAGGTAACTTTTGGGGTCCTTTATCTTACATTCTTCTTTAAGGAAATTTTCTTCATATTTGCCTAAATTTTCTTCTATTATTTCTTGTCCACCCCTATTTACCATGCTAAATCTTTTCCCCTTCTGAAACAGACTTTTAAAGAAAACAAACATTTAGAGAGCTGAGAAAACAAGACACACTGGAAATACGGACTGTCCTTTTACTGCACAGTAAGAAATGAGAAAAGGTTAGTGTGAAATCCTGGACTCTAAAATTAAAATGTAAACAGAGAATGCTCAGGGACCTTTTCTTAGAAGGCTCACACGAACGAATGTCATGGTACATTGATCAAACTTTTATTCATTTGTATTTTCAGGATGTTGCTATTAATACCATGTGACACTCAACAGTTAATTACACTATAATATGACATTTTGTCCAAATCACTTCACCTCTACGTTCTTCTTCAGCTATGCTACTTTAGCCTCTGGTTACTTAATGGAAAAACGATGTATTAAAGTCTTATTTTTGTAGGGGAGGGAAGACTTTACCTTCTTAGGTCTGTACCTGGGGCCTGTGAATTAAACTGTCAAAAGACAAATTAATAGGAGAAACAGCATGCAAATTTAATTGATGTTTTTAACTTTACTTCCAGGGGGCTACACAGAAAAGTAAAAACTCCCCCCAAAACTGTTAGGCTTTGAAGCTTATATATCATTTTAACAAAGGACAATAAATTATGGAGAATAGGCAAAAAAAAGGGGGGGGAGTTTGGGCTTTTAGGGGTGGTAGATTGTGGGAAAGTAAATACACGGGGAAATTAATGGAAGATAAGGGTCATTTTAGTAAGGGTTTTTTTTTGCAGACTCATTTCACAGCATCATCTCTGTGTCCCGTGATAAGGGTTGTTGTCTTCTTCCTGGTACAGGAGAGAGGGGATACCTTTACAAATGGAAATATATGTCATCTTTACAAAGGGAAATTTATGCCCTGCTTTTAGGCAGAAGCACAAGGACAGAGAATACTTCCTGTATCTGCTGTTTCTCAAGTGCCTTCAGCTCAAAATAATCCTTATGACAAAGTAGCATATTGGGGCTGGTATATTCTTATCCCCTTAATTTTCTAAGGGGGAATCAAAGTTCACTTGCTAATGTAAAAATATTGGCTCCAAAACTGTTCTGAGGAACTAGTTCTCTAGAATGTCTTATTTAAAAAAAAAAAAAAAAAGAAAAAGAGTTCTATGGTCAAATAAGCTTGGGATAATCAAATGCTAGATTAAACAAAGTTAACATGATTTTTTCCTCCAGGAAGGAACCTTTAATTAGCTAACAATGCATTGTTATTCTGCAAATGGGGAGTGAAAATTAATTGTGTTCCTCAAACTTATTTGACCATGGAACATGTTTTTCAAAGTATTTTTGAAGACGGGTGGTTTTGTAACATTATGTTGAGAAATACTGGGATTAGCCATCTTTCATATGTAAGTGCAGAAGTTTAAGTAGCTAGTGAAATAAGTGTAAGCCAAAAGGTAGAGCTGGCAATAAAGCTGGCAGCCAGCAGTAACTGTGCTGCATTCTGAGTCATGCTCCAGGGGACTGAGCTCAGGGTTGTCCCTATGAAGGAAAAAAGTGTCCAAAGCTTCTGGTTACCGCTGAATTAAACCCCTTCTCGGGCACTGAAGAATAGCAATAGATAAAGAAAAAATGGTCTCATGTGCTCATTTCCATCCTTGGCTCTGTACAGCTCCAGTTGTATTATTCTTAAACATCTATTAACATGATTGCTTCATAATTACATAGGCTAACTGCCAAGCATTTTTCACAGGAAGCAAGGCACTGCTTGTTTTTAACTGCTCTTCTGGTGCATGCAAAAGGGTCAGCGTTCTTTAAAAAATCTTTTTTATCTTATTTTAATTGAAGAAACACCTCTAAAATACCATGTGAGTACAAGATAAAAAGGAAAAAGCACATTCAAGCTAGGTAAGTGCAATAATATAGATGATCTCGGGGTGGGGGAGTACAGGATACAGAATTGATGCTACCAATATATCCCAAGCACAATGGTACCTACTATCTCCATCTGGGTATGCTGTTCTGCTAGAAATTTTAATTTCAGCAGAGACCATCCTCAAGGCTGCCATAGGCTGATTTCAAGGTTTCCAATCAGTAAATTTGACCCTTGATCTTCAAAGGTCAACTGCCACCACGTGTTCCCTTCTTAATCCTCCTCCACGCTCCCCGGATAGGAGCATAGCTACGCACTCAAGTCAGAGGACTGGCTGGCAATATCCTACACTGCCTCAAAGATTTGGGGGAAAATGCAGAGGGTGGGACTGGTATTTACCGAGCAACCAGGTGCAAAATGTTTTCATAAACATTACCCCATAAACAAACAGATCTTTTCCCCGTTTTGTAGATAAAACTGTGACTTAGAGAGGTTATAACACTTTGTCAAGGTCAAACCAAACGCTGATGAGCAAATTACGTAAAATTTGAGTCAGGTCTGGATGAGTCCAAAGTCTGTTTTACAATATCATGTTGTCCCCTGATCATAAAAACTTCATTTTTTATAGGAGCACAAATGGCCCATTTATACCATTTCTCTCAGTATCTAGCAAAATATCAACTTTTATCATTGCACTAACTTCAAGAGACCTGATAATATTTAGATCTTCTCATTCATTTGCCCAAATCAATAGAGCTATTTATTCTCAACTGCTGGTAATGTACTTTCTTAACTCAGCATTTTGTGAAAAAAAGTCTAAATACTTGAATTGCTTCATTTCATGCTCTTTCTCTTGGCATGTGTCTTTTTGGTCTGCTTTTAAAAATAAACTCCAAAATCACGACATATTCAGATATGAAAAACAGGATGGAGAGCAATGGGAACACTAATGTGAAATGGTCACCTGGCTAGAATACCTGTGTCTGTAGTAATCCCAAATCAAATGGAAAAATTTTGAATTTATGAAGCAATTACTCATGTGTGGTTGATTAAAAAAAAAAAAAAGGCACAAAACTGCCCTGGACTATAGATTGGATTCTACCCCAGTCTCCCACAGTTGCCACCCTGGTTAAGACCATCTGATTCAGTTTCCTCATTATTTAAGATTAGAAAAGATCTCTTAAGTTCCTTTAAAATTCCACAATTCTATAGTCAACTGCAGTTCACTGGCCTTTCCAGTGAATAAACAATTTAAAATAATGCAAGTCCCACTTTCATCATCCCTTTCTTAATTTGACAGAGGCAAAGGAGTTATTCATCTTGCAGTTAAAATTTTCTTTTTAGTGTGATAGAAAACCAAGCAGCAGAGAAAAACGTTCAGTCACCCAGCTAGACAGAGTTATACAGTGTTAGGAAAATGGTTTATTTAAGGAGAAAGCAGCACAACAGTTTTGCTTTACTTTGGTTGCAGGTCTCATGAGTCATTTCCTCTAAAGGGCAGAGGGAAAAATCAATCTTTTCCAGGAAAGACAGTAATATGGTAAAGCTTCTTTCCCTCTTGCTTAGCCTGATACTATATATTCACAAATGAAAATAATTCTGAGTGCAAGTCCTCATACAGATGCTCATGACACCTGCTTTCAAATTCTTATACTCAGAGAAATTATGTAACAGACCATTTGGCCCCATCCTAACTCTGATAACAAACAGACCTAGGTTTCCTACGTTCGTTTCCTTGGCATTTCACTCCCCTTATTATCCCATCACTTTCATCGTCCCCTTCCCCACCCAACACAATTGTTGATGCTGCAAGAAGCACTGTAAGACAGGAGTCTAAATTTTACCCACCACAGACTGGTAAACTTAAGCAAACATTAGTCACTCAAAAACATCACTGACTTGACGTTCTGGGTTTAATTTCCTCATGAATTCATCACTGCTTCAAAATATCAAGATGAGAAGCACTGGTCTGGTCACTGGCAGTGTGCAATTCTTGCTTAATTCTTCAAAAGTTTGTTGGACACGGTCAAGCCTAAAGGTAGATGCACTAGATTTGGGGAAATGCTCCCCTTAGCCACTCTAGCAGATGTGGGAATGGGGAAGAGAACTAGTGGGCAAGTTCACCCTTCCCACATACATATATTCATCTCTTCTCTGGTCACCATGCCCAGGGACCTTATAATCAGAGGTCCATTGTCAGAAAACAGTCATACTCACTGTAAACTCTACCATCATAGGATCACCATTCAACCTCTCACTGATGTGAGGACGGCACAGTAATCTCAGTACAGCGCTTCTAAAACTACAAAGTGCATTTGAATCACCTGGGGACTTCGCTGTAATGCAGACTGAGATTTAACAGATCTGGGGTACAGTCCAAACTTTTGCATTTCTAACAAATTTCAATGCAACACTGATGCTGCTGATTTGCAAACCACACCTGAGTAGCAAGGTCCTAGTACAGATGCCTTCCCAAATCTGGAGCACATTTTACCTTAAGGTCTCCTTATGGCTGGTTATCTATCAAGAGAACTAAACAGGGCAGAAAACTCAGAAGCTCTGCATTGGAAGAAATCCATCCTGAATACAGGAATTAATTAAGTTCACTGATTTTCACTACCCGGACCCTGGACCTTTGTTCCTGCCCAAATGGATCTGCCAGATCCTTCTTGCTTAGATGAATGACAAATCTTGGCCCAGCCTCACCAGCCTTATCTGATATCATTCGGCCAGCAACTCAAACATTAATTGTGTAGCACCTGCAAAAATAAAAATGCAGGTTCCTAGGCTCTAACCCTGAGATTCTGATTCATTAGGCCTGGAGTGGCCCCCAAAATAAAGAGACATTCTAGGTGATTTTACACATTCTGAGATTTGGGGGAAGGAAATGCATGTCTTCTTTAATGGATCGGAGCAACTTATATCCTATGGTGTTGATGCCTTTCCATCAAGGAAGACAGCAAAGAAAGGAGGCATAGAAAGAAACATGACTTGAGCATCTTACATTATGGTAGAAGAAATAATTTCCTCCCCAATTTGGACACTTGCCTGAAGTCACTTGTAGTTAATTCCAGTATATTTTGTCCTTTTCTTTAGCAAAGTTCACTAAAAATGTGAACTATTACTCTGTAGAAAATTCTTTTAATGTAGGTATGATTATAGATATAGTTATTTAATAATCAAAATATCAAAGGAATGGTTATTTATTCTTCTGACTGAACAAATAAAGTTGGAGTTGTTCACACACATTCTTTTTTCATATATACCAGAAGACAAACATTGAGATCAGCTAACAAAAATAAGGACTGAATATTAATTAGTGCCATTAAAATGGCAGAAGAATATGTAAAATACAAAAGGTAACTTTACCTAGACTTTATAAATGAAATGTCCTCCCTAAGAAGGGCTACAGTTTGGCTACTTGGTTTCTCTGGGGACGGATGTGGCATCTTGAGGGGTGTTATTCTCCGCTGGTACAGCTACAGGTTCTGCCACAGTAGCAGTGATCTCGGATTCAGTAGGGATGGCCTCTGAACTGGAGCTGTCTCCTGTGTGACTGGGGATGGTCTCAGTCTGAGAGGCTGAGGTTTCTTGACTGGAGCTGGTATCTGTTAGACTAGGTACAATGTCAGCTTGAGCAGGCGTGGCCTCTTCCTCTGTTTCCAATTCTGTTTCCTGACTTTGAACTTCTTCACCTTCTTCTAGCATAGCAGGTGGTAGCTGTAATAAAGTCTAAAGAGAAAAAAAAAAAAGAAAGAGAGAGAGAGGGAAGACGTCAAAGAATCCAAATAAAAAGACACTGGCTTATAAAGGTAACTTCTCACATTATCTTCCTAATTGATACTGTCACTCTAGAATTCTCCAAAACACTGCTGGCCATGTTATATTACAGATGTAACAACTCTGATGATAATGGCCTAAGTTTTACTGACTCCATGGAATATGCCTGCCTAGATATCAGATAATAATGGTGAGATCATATATTACATCCTCAGGGAGAAAAACAATATCAAAAGCTATTAAATTTTTTAGCAAAGGAATTTATTGTAACACTCTGGAAAAACAGTGGCTGATTAGGACTGACTGCCACACCAACTCAAGAAAGGACCGACTTCAATCAAGGGGCCCTGTGAGGGGTGAGAAGGAACCAAGCCTTGAGACAAGGCCATGGCAGGGAGAGAGCATCAGGGCACAAGGCTCCTTTCCCACTTAACCAGAACACTGGAGCAGCTCTATATGCCTGGCTTCCCTTTTACCCCATGGCAGTCTGGAGCTAAAGCTGGGTTTCTCTCTTCAGGAACTGTTTCTCTTGTTGGAAACTGAAAAAATTTTAAAGTAGTATTCACAATGGCAGCACAAAATGTGAAATACTTAGCAATAAAACTAACAACATATGTATAAAGCCTGTATGCTGAAAACTGCCAAACACTGAGGAGAGAATTCAAAGAAGACCTAAAGAAGTGGAGAGAGAGATCATATTCATGGAAAGAAGACTCAATATTGTTAAGATGTTAATTTCCCCAAATTGATCCTAAGCAGTAATACTCCAAAATCCTAATCAAAACCTCAACATGCTTTTTCTGGGGGTTGAAATAGACAAGCTGATTCTAAAATTTATACAGAAAAGCAAAGGAACTAGAGCAGCCAAAACCATTTTGAAACATAACAAAACTGAAGGACTCACATTATCTAATTTCAAGATTTACGATAAAGAAACTCTAATAAAGGTAGTGTAGTAAAGGCAAAAAGGGAAGATGCAAAGATCAACAGAACAGAATAGAAAGCCCAGAAGTAGACTCTCACATACGTGGCCAATTGATTTTTCTACTAAAACAAGGTGAGATCCTAAAAGTTCTCAAAATAAGAAAAAAAAAAAGTGTAACTCTGTGTGGTGAAGGATGTTAATCAGATTTATTGTGGTGATTGTTTTGCAATATATAGAAATAGCAAATCATTATTTTATACATCTGAAACTAAAATTATATGTCAATTATATCTCAATTTGAAAAACTGCTTTTTTAATCTCAAAAAAAAAAAAAAATGACAAGGCAAGTCAACAGAGGGAAAAAATAGCCTTTTCAGGAAATGGTGCTGAAACAACTGGATATCCACACACAAATGAGTAAAATGCAACCTTACCTCACACCATATAAAAAAAATTAACCCACAATGTACCATACCTCTAAACAGCAAATTAAACTATACAACTTCTAGAAGAAAACATTAGGGGAAAAAAACCCTGTAATTTTGGGTCAGGCTAAGTTCTTTTAGAACATCAAAAGCATGAATCACAAAAGAACAACTTGATACGCTGGGACTTTGTCAAAATTTAAAACTGTTTTTTGAAAGACACTTAAAAATGAAAAAACAAGTCACAGACTAGGAGAAAATATTCATAAAACAAACATCTGAGGAGGAACTTGTAGTCAGAATAAATTTTAAAACTCTCAAAACTCAATAATACAACCCAAAAAAGTGAGTGAGAGGCCTAAACAGACACATCCTCAAAGATATGCAGATGGTAAATAATCACATGAAAAGATGTTCAATATCAATTGTTATTAGAGAAGTGCCAATTAAAACCACAACAAGACCATTACACACCTACTGGAATGCTAAAATAAAAAGACCAAACATAGTAAGTGTGTGTGAGCTCTCATACATTGCTGGTGGGAATATAAAATGGTACAATCACTTTGTAAGACAGGTGGGCAGTTTCTTAAAAGAAGTTGAATACATACTTACCATACTATCCAACCATTCCACTCCTAGAAATTTACCCGAGAGAAAGTACAAAGACTTGTAGGAGAACGTTCATAGTAGCTTTATTTGTAGCAGCCAAAATTGGAAACAACCCAAATGTCCATCAGTGGATGAATGGGTAAACTTGGTAATCTGTATAATGGATTACTTATTCAGCAATAAAAGGAAAAGGACTACTGATACATTCTGAAACATAAATGAATATCAAAATAATACTGAATAAAAGTAGGAAAAAAGAGTACATGCTGTGAGTCTATTTACATAAATGTCTAAAAAATGGCGACTAATCTATTGTGACATAAAGTAGATCCTTGGTTTCCTGGAGAAGGTGGAAAAGGAACTGGTGAGGGATGAGAGGAATTATCAAGGTGTACGTGGAAAACTTTTGGGGATAATGGATATGTTCATCATCTCGATTATGGTGATGGTTTCATGGATATACACAAATATCAGAACATATCAAACTGTATACTTTAGATATGTGGAATTTATTGTATGCCAAATTATATCTACAAAAGATGTTTTTAAAATATGGATGTTACATGAATAGTAATCTACTTTGGTTTAGCTGGTTTCCTGCAAGGAATCAAGTATGTTAAAGATTTATTCGGCAACAGAGAAGATTCTACAGCAAGAAAAATAAGAGTCAATTTTGAGAAAACTTACCTGATGATAATGATGTGTGGTCTGTATCAAATGCATATACATGTTGTATACAAAGTTTGCCATCTGGGGCATATTCTTTATTATCTGTACTTCATGAGATGGTCTCTCTCCATTCTAGAAGACGGCAAAAAGAAAGTTAAGTATAATCACTTATATGTGGAAATCTAAAATATGACACAAATGAATTTATCTACGAGACAGAAACAGACTCAGAGACATAGAGAACAGACTTGTGGTTGCCGGGGGGGTGGGGGTGGGTGGGTAAGGGAGGTATGGATTGGGAGTTTGGGATTAGCAGATGCAAACTATTATGTATAGAATGGATAAACAACAAGGTCCTACTGTATAGCACAGGGAGCTATATTCAATATCCTGTGATAAACCACAATGGAAAAGAGTATGAAAAAGAGTGTATATTTGTATAACTCAATCACTTCCTGTACATCAGAAACTAACGCAGCATTGTAAATCAACTATACATCAATAAAATAAATTTAAAAAAAAAAGAAAAAGAAAGTTAAGTATAGAGTGAAAGACACTGAAAGCTAACACTTCAACAGAAGCCCATGTCTCCATCTTATGTATGAACACTATTTGACTATTAGGGTTTGGAGGAAATAAGAACAGGAAGAGGACATTAAGATGTAAGTGTTAGAGTCGAATAAGGATTTCATGAAGAGAAGTGATTCAATTTAAATTTAGAAAAGGCAGAGATGAGGAGAGAGCTAAGAGTCACTAGCTTTTAATATAATTTCAAGTTGGTAAGTAAAACATGAGTTTTGGTCTACTAACGTAGAAGAATTCGTAAGAAATAAGCAATCATTTGAATAGAAAAAAACCATCAACATGGTCTCAAGTAGTGGTCTCCAATACCACATATGCTCCAAAGGCAAGTCTCAAGGCTATTCACAAAGAAAATATTAAAATTATTCTTCCCATTTATGTTTTTCTAAAAAATAAGAAGCTATCATTTATTATTACTTAATATATAGACTGTTAGTCATGAGGGTTAATATTTGCCAGTTTTCTGTTTTCGGCCATGCCATGCTGCTGTGGGATCTTAGTTCCCCAACCAGGGATCAAACCTGTGCCCCCTGCTGTGGAAGCGTGGAGTCCTAACCACTGGACCGCCAGGGAATTCCGGCAAGATTTTTTTTTCTTTACTAATACAGTGTATGGTCAAAAATGTTGGCAAATAGTAGTTTAAGGTGTAAACTTTGTAGTACCCATCAGAACCATGTGGGGAAAGTGTTAAATAACAGAGGCCTGGGCTGTAGCCCCCCAGTGATTTCGATTCAGTAGGTCTGAGGGAGAACGAGGTGATTCTGATGCAGTAGCTTCTGACAACAACCCGAGAAACACCACTCTATTGGTGTAGGTAAAGTGGTAAAGCAAATGAAGAAAACGGAAAATGTGCACTTCTTCTAAACCATCTGAGAATAAAGATTAAGAACTTTCCTATTTAAAGTCATTGTAAAATTTTTATAAAGTCTCATCCTATCTTACTGTACAATTCAGAAAATCATAGAGGTAAAAAACATATCAAGAAAAAGGATTTCACCTTAAAGTGACAAATTATTTAAAGCACATAAAGTTAGAAATATTTAGTACATTAAATAGCGTTTCTCAGAATTAAGCAGGACGGCGGTATTGCACATAAGCAGGTGTTCTTTGGACGGTGGTCACTTTCTGTAACGGTCACAACTTCTGTGTGCAAAGACTGCCATGCTGTTACAACTATGGAATATTGCCTTTAAAGCATGGAAGTCTTTCTGTTTGTATTTGCATATTTTCTGGCGGCTTTGCTGGGAGCAGCCTCTCCTGAGATTCAGGGCCGCGCAGTCCTCCTCACCCCTCACACTGTCTCCTGAGCAGAGGATGGGGAGATGCTCCCAGCCCTCAGCCCCCAGGGCTTGAGTCCATGGTACTGCCTAGAGCACCACTTTCCAAACCTTCTGTTCCTTGGTATTGCCTCCAGGTGTGTCTGCAGCCCTTGGCTAGGAAGCACCTGGAGAGTGTGTTAAACCTGAAGACACCTAGCCTCTGCCCCAGACCTCTCATCAGCAATGTGCCTGTTTAATCATCAGTCCACAAAAGATTGAGAACCTCATAGCTATAGGACTGTGTCCAGACCTCAGAGCCTGACACTCAAGGCTGCACATGGCCCTACCCCATTGTATCGTTCCATCCTTTCCCTTCTATTCCTCCACAGCAGCATTTCTTTTATTTAAAGGAAAAAAAACAATTAAAAAAAAGTTCTTAACATTATTACAAAACAAACACACAGAATTTAACTTTATTTTTTTTTTTTAAAGAGGGGTAGGTGGAATTCCCTGGCAGTCCAGTGGTTAGGACTCTATGCTCTCATTGCCGAGGGCCAGGGTTCAATCCCTGGTCAGGGAACTAAGATCCTGCAAGCCACACAAGTGAGGCCAAAAAATGAAAAAATAAAAAAAAATTTTTTTAAATAAAAAAAAAGAGAGGTGGGGAAAAGAAATATACTGTGAACATTTAAGACAGCTTTATTTAAAATTCAATGGACCTCCAAGACATTTCATTAAATGAAAAACACAAAGCCCAAAAGTCTATAGTATGCTGACCTTCATGTAAGAAAGAAAACAACGTAAGGAAATAAAGTTACCTGCTCCTTTGTGCAAAAGTAAGGCTAAGCCAGAAACTGAAGAGATAATGTTACCTCTGGGAGCTGAGGGTGGGAAAGGGAAGAAAGAAGGGGAGATAGGAGATGGGTAGCAGGGATGAGGAGAGAGTGGCACTTCTGAGTTAAGTGTTTGTGCTATTCCCTGACACCTTCCCTCAGAATGCAAGCTTCTTGAGGGTTCTCCAAGAGTTAAACCAGTTATTACTCTGTTATCAAGTAATTAGTTAAGTTCTCCTTACAAAGCTGAAGAGAGGCAGTATAGTATGTTGACGATTAGCATGGACTCTGGAGTCAGGCTGTCTGGGTTTTTAAATCTTGGACTCTCCATCTACTCAGATGTGTGGCTTAACTACTTAACTTCTCGGATCCACAGTTTCCAACATATGGAAAGTGAGGGTAATAAGAAAACCTATTGAACAGGGCTGTTACTGAGATGAAACGAGATAATGTATGTAATGTAACATTTATTGAGTACTCACCATGTATCAGGCTATTAGCTTTGACATACATCATTTTATTTCCTATTAGTAACCTGTTCAATAGGTTTTATTAACCCCATTTCCCATATGTTGGAGACTGGATCAGAGAAGTTGCCTGATATGTGGTGAGTACTCAGTAAATGTTAGCTGGTGTTATTTTTACATAGAAAATCTTAATTCAGCTCCTTAGCGTAAGGAGCACTCTAAACCAGTGTTCAGATGATTTATGTGATGATGCTCTTTGCTAATGTGGTCACCTGTAGGCTTACCTTTCTACTGGTTGGGAAAGGTTCTGTTGGAATTATATGCAAATGAAGTGGGCGGGCTGTGAGCTGGCTGAAAGCTGGAGTTAGTTCAAAACAGTTTTGGAAGAGGGATACTCTGGCGAAGATATAAAGTCCAAGTCTGGCTCTAGACATGGCCACCACTAAGCGACGGACATCCCTTTGAGAAACAAATAGAATGAATTAAAACATATCAAGGTTAGTAACATATTTATGCAGCCTTTTATTTTTAAAACATATTCCACTAAATATTCCTGTTAAGCTGTGGCAATAAAGAGTTAAGCTTCTTAAAAACTTAAGAGAATAAACATTAAGTTAATCAATGCTATGTAACTAGTTAACCAAGTAAGAAGTTAATGCTTTATTACCAACTTCTATGTTTTTTTTTTTGCGGGGAGAGGGTGGGGAGAATCACAAAATAACCAATGGCTGATTAAAAAGGTGTAAGTTGCTATACTAGTATTACGATACAGTTCGGTTGTCAGTTACCAATTTACTGTATCACCACCATTGAGTCAATTCAAACCAGCCCTTGCTCCATTTCACCTACCAAATTCCCATGCTCTGTCAAGGTTAATGGGTCAAATTTTACTTCCTAGATAACTCTTATCATACTGTTTTATACTTATTTATAATAATAATTACAAATACAAACAGCAATACAGTACGACGAATGATATAACATAATAATACCATCTCTTATTCACGCATTTACTCTAGTACCTACGCCCAATGGCTGGACTATACTAGGTCTCGGTGTTCACATAAACAGTCATAAAAATGCCAAAATGCATGAGCCAGCTATACATGTAGCTGTCTATCTGATGAACGATAGCAGCTTTCTTTATCTTTCAGAAAGAATATGTTCTTAAAACTTTATCTGAATTTACTTGAATCAAATGAACTTATTTCCAAAACAGAAACAGACTTAGAGAATGAACTTATGGTTACCAGGGGGGAAGTGGGGTGGGGAGGGATAGATTGGGAGTTTGGGATTGACATGTACACACTGCTCTATTTAAAACAGATAGCCAACAAGGACCATGTAAAAAAGAAAAAAAAAAATTACAAAAGAGTGGCTATGTGTAAAAGGAAAAAAAAATATAAAAGAGTGGCTATGTAAGTTTAATTTCACTTCACTATTAGTTAGAATGTGTTTTAGTAAGAAAATATAGTTTTGGTTTCAAATACAGAGGACAGCTTGTTTTCCTGAGATGCTTAGACGGCTATTTAAATTTGCGAGTATTCTACAAAAGAGAAGACTTTCATCAATAATAATAAAATCTGGTACAGTCATCCCTAACTCCTGAAAGAAAGTGTTAAAGAGTGTTACAGAGGTCAAATGTTACAAAGATCATATAATAACCAGACAGAGAATCGGGAATTGGAATATTTATCACATGGCTTTTCTTTGTCTCTGCATAATGCAAGATATTTGGGGAATATCTCTAATTCAGCCTCATTTTCTATTGTGTTTTATGGCCTTGATAAGGATCTAGTTTCCCTTATCAGGAGGGACTGTGCAACATCATATATAATAGCAGTTATGTTGAGGGGGTATCCCCACCTCCCAGCAACCCAAACTAAGAGAAGTTCATTTAGGTATGAGGAGAAAGCATACCCATTTGCAGTAGCTTTGAGGAATTTCTACATTTGTGACACCCTGGATTCACGAAGGAAATGTCACCTTCTAGGTCACTGCAGGCCAAATTGTTTTTACTTCCTCCACATCCCTTAGAAGCCCGAGGGGTCATGCTATAGGTGGGTGGTTCCAAAACTAGTAACTGGATGTACAATGCTGGAAATACTTAGCATGAGTTCTCACCTAAGTATTATAAACTTAATAAAAACACTGTTAAAACAATGTTGTCAGGGAAAAAGGTGGGGAGGGCATGGTGGAAGGAGGTGACCTAAGCTGTTGTTTTCATGGTAATCCCTGTATTATGATATTCAGTTCTCCCTTTCTCATCCAGAAGGCTCTATCTCTAGGCAGAGCAGAGACAATGAACCTGTTCCTCTGAGGAACTTTTCCCTCCAGTCCTTAGTACTGTAGGACAGTTAAGTGGCTCTACTAAGCTCGATCTCCACTGTACATGAGGAGAGTTAGCCTAAAATCTTCTGCAGAATCAAATGTAGGTATTTTCCAAGGACATGTTTAATGTCTCCTCCACTGGATTCTAAGCTCCATGCAGACAGAGATAATGAATGTTAGATTTACTACTATATATCAAGAACCCATCACATTGCCAAATAATAGAAGGATCTGAGAACATCTGTTAAATGAATGAGCAAACACTATAAACATAACAAACTACCAGGGAAAAAAAGCAAAGGGTGGCAGCATGAAAAGCCAGGGTTCCTTGGAGCTGTATCTTGAAACCAGGGCAATGAGAACTACCACCTTCTTTCACAGTCCCCAGAAGATGGCTGGACAGAAACAGCACTGTTAAACAACAAGCCATCACTCTGATAGAGCCCCTACAAGGAGACAACACAGGAAAGTTACAGTTTCACTGCTTTGCTCTGAACAAGTCACAAGCATTTCTATTTGTAGCTGGGCTATTCAAGTCAGTAGGGACAAGAACAATGAATGTTGGAAAAGGAACCAGAAATGTCTCACTACTCTAGCTTCTAAACAGCTCCACAGTGCCCTAAAACAGGTCTCTGGAACTGACGCTCAGTAGCCTGGCTCCTAAACAATCACCTGATTCATCTATCCTGGATGAAAAAAAGATGTGGGTAAAAGAAGAAAGGCAGGCACTTGGGAAAATGGCTTAGCAGTTTCTTAAAGGGTTAAACACAGAGTTACTATATGACCCAGCAATTCCACTCCAAGGTCTACACCCAAGAGAAAGGAAAACATACTTCCACACAAAACTTGTTCATGAATGTTCACAACAGCATTAGTCCTAATAGCCAAAAAGTAGAAACAACCCAAGTGTCCACCAGCTGATGAATGGATAAATAAAAAGTAAAAAATTCACACAAAAAATAATGAAATATTATTTAGCAATTAAAAGTAATGAAGTGCTGACATATACTACAACATGGATGAATCTTGAACACATTATGCTAAGTGATTTCATGTATATGAAGTGTCCAGAACAGGCAAATCTATAGACATATAGTAGAATAGTGGTTGCCAAGGGCTTAGGGGAGAGGGGAAGGGAGTAACTGCTGACAGGTATAGGGTGATTAAAAATGTTCTAAAATCGTGAAGATAGCTGCATAACTATGAATATACTAAAAATCATTGAACTGTACACTTAAAATAGGTGAATTGTATGGTGTGTGAATTATATCCCAATAAAGCTATTAGTAAAAAGAGAAATATGGAAGAAAGTAGGTTTCCTTGGTCTCTTGAAACACAAAATATTTTAGTACTTCCTAGAAAAAGAAAGATATGAAAGATTGTATTTACAAACAAAAAATTCTATGAGGAGTTTGATAAAATTCTAGCTAAGATACCTAACCTGTCTGGATAGTTGAATTGTAAATCATAGGTCAATTGACTTTTTCCCCTCTATGATTTAATAACACTACCACCACCACCAGCAGCCCCCGAAGAAGAAGGTAGACTTCCAAAAGGGAAGTTTGGCAAATACAAAGAAGACAAATTTATCTGGATAAAGAAAATTTAGATATGTAAGACAACAATGAGATCAGGTTCTTTTTTAAGCCTTCATTTATAAGCATTTTATTATCATCATCTTTCTCTTTATTTTTTTTTTAAGTTTCCAGAAGTCAGGTAAAAAACAGCATAGAAATAAAGTCATGGGAATGTGAAAAAGACAAAAAAAGCACTACAGAGTAAGAAAAAGGGAAGGGGAAGAAGCAGTATTCATGTATTCATACTGTGAGTTTGGGTAAGAGATTTTAATTATGTAAATCATAATGATACCCTATGCAGCAGCAGCTATAAATTTCAATGTGGAAATGAAACCGCTTTTTAGAAAAGTTAGTCTCCAAAACATGTTTGACACTTAAGTAAAAACACACTGTATTTCAGAATGCTATAGTATTGAAACAATTTCTTGAAACATTACATCTTTGTTTACTCTTACGTAAAACTTATCGGTCTAATGGAACCTGATCACTCTGGGTTAAGCACCAAATAGATCTTGACTTAATGACAACATTATGAGAGCTTGCAGAATTTTCTTTTTATATCCATCAAATAAAATAGTAAAATGAACTCTCCTTATAGTTTTGCTAGTAAGTCATATGAGATGAAGGTTTATATAAAACTAAATGGCTGCTTTGTAACAAGGAGATATTATTCCCATAAATCTCCAGCACATAAATACATCACAATAAGTGATAAAGATATATTACTGTTCGTTTTGACAATTCTTAATACTGGGAGAACAAATGGTTCCTTTATCCTAACACTGAAGCTAAAAGACTGTAGGGAAAAGTGAGAAATCCTGTGCAATGCAAAGTTTACTCTTAGACTTTTTACCACTTTACCTCCTTTAATTTCTGACATTAAGTTTCAAACAGACATAGGAGATACATACATACATACATACATATTTATATATATTATGATTAAATGCTATCTCTGACTGTTCTGAAGAGTAAAAAAGTTAAAATTACTAAAACATTTAAGATTCAAAAAATTCAGAAGCAATGGCAATGATTAACTAACTATACAAAGAATATGATACTGCTACAGTCCAACAAAAAGCACCAAAAGTTAATTAATTAAACTTTCAACATAAAATTTAAAACTACTTACCCACAGAAGCTCAAAATTAAAGCATAAAGTTCAACACTATTATGAAAATGTTTCCTTACATACCTCAGATGGCCCACTGCCCTCGTTCGTACTAGAGAAAGAAGAATATAATCATTCTGTTGACCTTGAAATCTGTCAACGGTTGTCACCTGAGGCAAAAAAAAGGGGGGAATATGGTATATTTTCAAAAGCAAAAACTCTAGAGAGGTCATTTAAATAAAGTGCTAGAAATAAAAATCTTATCCTTAAAATAATCAATCGCAAAAGAACATGACTATATACTTGGAATTGAAAGAACAAGTTAATGAACACTATGAAACAAACCATGGTAACCAGATTCGGCTACGTCCCTATGTTATTCACACTTATAGCACTCACCTTTAACTCTGCAGATACCTAAGTAACTATTATATTTGTGGAATTAACAATCTTCCCCCTACTAGACTACTCAGCTCCATGAAAGCAGGGACTGTTGTTCAGCTCATTATATACCTGATATCCCAATTTGATGCCCAGCAACATTTTAAATGTACAATTTGATAAATTTTGACAATATGTACTCCCAAATAACCATCACCGCAATCAAAATTTCCATGAGCTCAGTCCCTTTTGTCATCAAATCTGTATCCCCCAGCCCCAGGCAACCACTGATCAGCTTTCTGTCACTATATTTTGTTGCCAGTTCTAGAATTCCATAAAAATGGAATCATAAATTAGAAGTTCATACCTTTTTACTGGTGAATAGTATTCCACTGAACGAATATATTACAATTTGTTTATTCATTCCCTTGTTCACGGAATTTGGGTTGTTTCTAGTTTAGGGCTATTTTGAATAAAGCTGCAATGAATATTCATGTACAAATATTTTTGTATAAATACATTTTTATTGCTCTTGGATAAATATCTGGGGGTAAAATTGCTGGACCGTGTGGGTGTTTATAAGAAACTGTCATACTGTTTTCCAAAGTTGCTGTACACACATTCACTAGCACTGTTCCAGTTCCAGAGTTCTAGTTGCTCCACATCCTTGCCAACACGTGGTATACTGTCAATCTTTATAATTTTAGCCATTCTGTTGGATGTGTAGTGGTGCATCACTGTAGTTTTAATTGCATTTTCCCTGACAACTAGTGATGGTAAGCATTTTTTCATGTGCTTATTGTCCATTTGTATGCTGTCCAATTCATTTGCCAATTCTGTATTGGGTTGTCTATATTTTACAATGACTTTTATAGGAGTTCATATATTCTGGATATAGTCCTTTGCTCTTATGTATGGATATTATACCTGGAAATTCTGTTGTCATCCTGACCATGTGGAGAGCTTGTCTGAGAACTGGGCTCACAGATTGAGGACAGCAGAGCAGAAAGATGAAATGAACCTTGGTCTTTCATGACATCATTGAGTCACACTGTAACCTAACCTGGAGCCACACTACTTTCATCTTCTTGTTATGAGAGAGAGTAACTTTCCTTATTGTTTAAGTTTTTCTATTACTCTTAAATAAAAGGCCTCAGACACTGAGGTTCTTCTATTTCTAAACTTCCTATATTTCAAAGTTATTAGTTTCTCATTTTCACTCTCTATATCCCTTATGGAGTGTTCTACAGTGCCTGTTCCTCCCCATTCCTTTTAATTTTGTCTCCATTTCTTTGATTTTGTTTTGTTTTCTGCCAGTTCACATTTCATCTCTTCCTGGGTTCTTCAATTTCTCTGTTTTGTAGCCTTCCCTCACAGAAATGCATACTTCATTAAGTGTCTTAAAATTCATACCCAAATATGCATTCAAAATTTTCATCTATTCTAGGCCAACATGTTTTCTGGAGAATGTTATCTTGTCAATTAGTTTGTTCGGATGCTCTTTCCCTCATTTATAAATTGAGCTTGTGCTAGTTTCCTTTTCTCCTCTACTTTACCACTGATTAGGTGGGTTTCTCAGGTTAGCTATGCATAAGAGGTTAGGTTAGGGTGAGCAGAACTTTCTTCTAAAGGCTCAGTGATTTTTAACAACAGATGGTTCTCTTTTTCACTGTTACTATAGAGACGGTGTATTTTTTTCAAATATAGCTCATCTGTAGTCTTCTTTGAATCAGTGTGGAACCAGGAAGGCTTCTGCTCACCCCAATACCCATATCCGTTGTTGAATAATAGGGATGTGGCTCTTACACTTCAAAGTATGCCACCACTTTCAGAAAGTGTGCTTTTGCTGGCACTTTCAAGACCCTAAATTCTCTTCCCATTTTTTCTTCTTGATCTTAGTCACATGTCCTTTCACTAAAAATGGAATTTGTTTTTTTTCCTCCCATTTTTCTCTTACTTGTGGATGATTTCCAAGAAAAGGTAAAGGAGCTTTTATATAGCTATGTTCACAGCCAAAGTCCTAATTGCATCATTACTAATACTATATTTATGTTTGTTATTCTTTCTAATTGACAAAATCAAGCATCTTCATTTTTATTTGCAATTACTCCATCATATCACATAAAGAAGTATAAAAAAAATCCTAAGGTCTGAATGTACTTTATGATTTTCCTTTATCCTCAAGAAAAAACACCCCCCTAAACACACACACAATAAGAAGCAGTACAAATTATACCTTTGTAAGACAAACAAAATAAAAAAATGCTACAATTCCTATTTCACAACAAAAAGTTTCAGAAACATTTATTTCTGATTACTGTCAACAAAAGTCTTCAATGTGATAGTTGAGACAGACGTTCACAGCAAACTAATAACACTGTCAGATAGAACTGCCAGAGAATGATTTATAGAGTTCCTATTATTTCATTTTCTCACATATTTTAAAAGGAGATGGCAAAGAGACAAGGTAGAACAACATAAATAACTCATAATAAATATAAATCTTTCCATCTTGCCAACAACATGAATAAGAGAACATATTATACTTGTAAAACTACCTTATTTGGTCTTCCAATCAATGGATTGCTCCCGCATCGTCTATTGATGATGTCACGAATAAGATGCTTTTGTCCATTATATGTTGTTAGAATGCTAATCTTGTCAGCAGGGTAACCAAGTAAGCACATGTACATAAAAAGTGCCACTACGTATTCTGCCTCTCCAAGATTCTGTAATGAAAACATTAATCAGATTGTGTATTTATTTCCCTTTATTGAAAAAACAGTTAACTAGCACAATTTGTTCATTTATCACACCTCAAGAAGTGAACAGTTAATATCTTGGACAAGTGAATACCTCTCATAAAACTGAGCAATAACTTATCCTAAATTAACAACGATAAATAAAGATAGAGTATGTGGTAATTACTTCCCTTTAACATTTGCAATATATTTGCAATACATGGAACAATCATAAAATAAAAGTCACCAACTTAAAGGCTTAATATTTCTGGGACCACAACAATCACAATACAGATCAATAATATCCTGTTATAGTGTATTGCAACTATAGTTATGGAAAGAAATATTAACATAAAGAAGCAAGGTAACTATCTTAGAAGCCAGCAGAAAATCCAGTCTAACATATACATCCAGCAGTACCGTAGTTGGCTCTCAATTTTTACACAATGTTTTTCCTTTTTCCTTCATACTTCTTAGTTTTTTTGTGTGTGTATTATGTTCGTTCTCTTACTAATGGTTGCCACCTCTACCAGACCACTTCAGATGGGAAGAGGATGTGGCCTCAAATTGATCATCCTGGCCTGCTGTGACCTTAGAGGGTCTAGGTAAAGATGGATGGGAAGGAGTTTAAGACCAAGACTTAAATGCACTTGAGAGTGAGAAAGCATACACAAGCCTGCTTAGTCCAGTTCAACAGAGACTAAACTGAAAGTAACAGACGAGAGAAGAAAGTAAAATGAGAACATAAACATAACACGAAAATCAAAAAGGACAAGAAGCTGGGTTTCATGTAAAGGCAACAGGAAAATTACAGGAAGACCTTCGGAAAAATCATTTGTATTCTGGTGACACACAGCTTCAGTTAACTCTTCATCTAAATTTTCTCGTTCTTTGGAAGACAGGAGCCACATGACTGTGTAAATCTTTCCATTTTCTATATTGATAACAAACTACATTTATCTAAGCATCAGCTAATATAGATAAAAGAACAAATCTTTTGGTGCATATGCTGCCAGATCTTTTTGTAGAGATTATCTGTACATATTTCTATATGTATGTTTTGCTTTTTAAAAAGCAAAACGGGATACTATAGATACACTTTGCAAGCTGATTTTTTCATTAATATAGCATAAAAATTCTCCCTGTCAGTAAACCAAGTTATAATGTCACCCTTAGTGGCTATTCAGTATTATATGGAATAGGTAAAAGTGTAATTAAGGTTGTTTCTCCTTTCAAAAATAATTTGCAATAAAAAAAAGATGTGATGAACATTTTAGCATATAAGTCTTTGCAAATTTGTCCATTTTTTAAAGGATAAATTCCTATAAGTGAGAGTATTGCTTTTAATACATACTAACAATATGTTCACCAAATTACTTTCCTACGAGCATTGCATGAATATAGTTTCCCAAACCTAACCCAACAGAGGTGAAAATATATTCCAGTGATTTATACTTGCTACAAATCTATATCTTCTTCTGTGAATTGCATATTCTAGTCCTTATTGCATTTTTCTGTTGGGGGGTTGATTCTTTTATAAGTGATTTTAAAGAGTTCTATACACATCCAGACTTCAACCCACTGTTTTTTACAGGCTGAAAATAAATTCTGCTCTCAATCAAGCAATATTTTTCTTTATGATTTTGGTAATGAGCTTAAAAAAGAACTTTCTTACCCCAACATTATATATTCATCATTATTTTCTTCTTTTTTAGTATGTTTATATAAGTTTCTTTTCTTTGGTGTATATATCTTTAATCCATCTGAAATGGAAAATTGTGTGTTGTGTGTGAGGTGGAGATCTAACTTTGCTTTATTGAATGGTTTGTCCAAGTGGTTCAGTAATACTGATTTAGGTAGTAATTCAGCCAGGAAAATGCAAAATAAACTTAAAAGTTTCCTATTTTTTTCTTACCTGATAAAAGTAAGGATTAGGCTCAGATTCTCCAACTCCCTGAAAATCTTCAACATTAATGAGCTGGAAGTCATAAAGCAAGCCGGCATTTGCTGTACTAAACTCCGGCAAGAGCTGCACATGGGGTAAGTTTCCTAGATTCTTGTAACGCCAGTTGTAGAGGTTGCATAAGCTTTCAAAGACAAATCCCCCCCAAAACAGGAAATATTAGCATTGTAAATCCCCTTTTAATATATATAAGGGGGTTTCTAAGGGATGGGCTCTTCCTGTTAATTTTCATATTATCCACATTGTGCTCTTTTTAACAATAATGCTTTTGCAACCTTTGTCTCCCTGTAAGTAACCAAATCAGAAGATTGATGATATTACAAGAAATGATAGCTCCATTATGTTCTCTGAGGCAAATGCTACCTTTATTCCTTAAGTAAACACATCAGGGAAGAGTCTGCACAGTGAAAAAATTTTTGAGGTAACTATGAGAGGGGACCTGTACATTTCATGAACTAAGAATTAGTGTGTTCTCCTCTTGTTCACCTCTAGCTTTAGATTTCAAAATGATATTAATCGTATATCTTTTGGGGGCATGAAAAAAAGGGAGGTGACAGTGAAAAGAAGCTCTTAGCTGAGAAGTCACTTAAATTAATCTCAATGAATAAAATGAAGGATATAATTTGGTCAATTCACACCCATGCTGAAGGTAATAAAGGTACTTTCCAATTTGTAGATTTGTATCCAGGCAAGTTCCTGGATAACAGATAAGAGTCTATACAGAAGATGTTATCGAATACTTGGATCATCGAAATGATGTCCTTAAATAGAAATAATATCTCTACCATCCACCCTCCCTGCCCCCTGTTGCCCTGTCTCCTTTACCTTGCTCTGGCCCTCCCTTGGGCATCGAGGTCCACAGTAGGAACTCCAACTCTGACAAAGCGAGTGAAGAGAGATTGCTCCATGTTTGAATACTTCTGAAAGGCCATGTTCTTAATAACTGGAGGTAACTGGTGATGATCACCAATCATAATCCAACGTTTTAGTCGGCTAAAACCATCCTGAGGATTCTAGAAATAAAAAGTGAGGAAATGGCAAAATATTCTAATATATTACCCTGTTAATCTCCAATTTATTGCACAAGATTCTTGCTATTCACAAGATGGCTTTAACAGCTTATTAATTCTTGCTCTTCCCCAGTTCCACAGAAAAGAATCTGGCAAATTTACAGAGCGACTTGTATGGGTACCACTGCTCTTGGCTGACAGTGTGTGAGGGAGGATAGAGGGATTGAGAGGCAAGCATGGAATTACCGTACTTTAATATGCAGGGTAACCCAAAGAGGTCTGGGAGACTTAGGTCATAATTAGGCAAAGGGTGCACAGAAAGAAACAGATGCCCAAGCCGGGAAATGGAAAGATGTCAAAGTAAATACCTTGTATCACAATTACGCCAAGAGCCAGTTTGCGAACCCCCCAAGGCAGTAGAAATTATACCTTCTTTAATTTCCTACACTAATACTTCAGTTTCCTACTCTGTCTCCTTGTTCCTTGTAACATATTCTGATAAAATACAAGTCCCAAATAACTTGGCTTTATAAAACAATTTTCGGAACCCAATTTATCTATAAATTAGAGTAGCCTCTATTCTTCAATTAGGAATTCCACATTTTGTTTTTTATGCTCCATAGTAAAGACTATTGTAAAATAAGAAAACATTCTTAAACATCATTTATCTAAAAAAATTCAGGCACAAAATAAAGAAAAGCCATGTACGCAGGGATCAAAAACAATTCCAGAAACAACTCTAAATAAAAGAAATGAAAAAGAAGCTCATCTTCCCTCCAAACTGCCTAACAATGTAATTTTCTTGATTAAAATTACTGTCTTTTTAAAACTTAGAGATAAACTATGAATTTTTAAATAGTGCTCCCAAACAATACAAACTACTCAATAACCAGTGAATAGATTAAAATAGAATACCAAACATAATGAAGTTAAGGAGAACACATAATCATAGCAATTAGCACCCCCAAACTGGGTAGTTTTCTGATGCTACCCCCCAGAATTCTTAAAACTTTACTTTTTTTTTTTTTTTTTTTGCGGTACGCGGGCCTCTCACTGTTGTGTCCTCTCCCGTTGCGGAGCACAGGCTCCGGATGCGCAGGCTCAGCGGCCATGGCTCACGGGCACAGCCGCTCTGCGGCATGTGGGATCTTCCTGGACTGGGGCATGAACCCGTGTCCCCTGTATCGGCAGGCGGACTCTCAACCACTGCGCCACCAGGGAAGCCCAAAACTTTACTTTTTTAAAAATAAATTTATTTTTGGCTGAGTTGGGTCTTCGTTGCTGCATGCGGGCTTTCTCTAGCTGCAGTTGCAGCAAGCAGGGGCTACTCTTCATTGTGGTGTGCGGGCTTCTCATTGCGGTGGCTTCTCTTGTTGCAGAGCACGGGCTCTAGGTGCACAGGCTTCAGTAGTTGTGCCACACGGGCTTAGTTGCTCCGTGGCATGTGGGATCTTCCCGGACCAGGGCTTGAACCCGTGTCCCCTGCATTGGCAGGTGGATTCTTAACCACTGTGCCACCAGGGAAGCCCAAAACTCTACTTTCTTTGTCTCAATCTCAGTATCTTACCTGTAGAAGAAGAGGTATAAAAGTTTCTATCTCCAGAATCTGAGCAGCCTCTTCCATTAAAATGTTGTCATACTGAGAAAGGGAGAAAAAAGAAAGCTTGTCAAAAAGAGAGCTTGAAAGCCAAACAGCTACCACCATGACCGTAATAAGCATCCCCAAACCCCTCAAGTAGTTCAGATCAAAATAACAACAAATTATTCAAACAGAAAGTTCATGATCTTCTTTACCATTATGCTACCGCTTCTCCAATTCAAGTCTTTAACTTTAAGGAAGTGCCCTAAACATACAACTCTACATTAAGGAAGCCTCGTTTATCATTTCTTGGATTGAGATTATCAATTTAGTTATTTTCAGTTCAGTTTTGAAGTTCTATATAAGCAAGAATCAACCTATGATTATATATGAGGTCATTTCCATTGGTACTCTTATCCTAGGTAGTATTTTGCAGTAATTTTTTTCCCTTATGAATCCTACTTGGTACTCAACAATCTCCTTTTGTTCCCCACCCCCGGCATTCAATCCATCACCAAAGCATGTCAATTTTACCTTCAAAACTCCCTCTAGAATCTATTTGTTTTTCTACATTTCTACTACCACTGCCACTCTAATCCAGGCTGCTACTCTGACTACTGCCAGCAATCTCTTTACTAGTCCCTCTCCTTCCTGTCTTGCCTCCCCTAAACCACTCATAAAACAAGTCATCACATGACGTCACCTGGTTTCTAACCCTTCATTGGTTTCCATCTGTCCTAGGAAAAAAGGACCCTTAATGTGGACTGTAAGAGATGTGTTAACTAGGGCCTGTATTCAATCTGGCCCCTGCCTTCCTATCCTACTTTACATGTCACCTTCCTCCTTACTCACTAAGCTTCAACTACATTGACCTATTTCATTTTTCTCAGAAATGGTAAAACCATTCATGCCTCAGGCTCTCTGAACATGCTATTTTCTCTTCACTTTTTGTCTGCTTGGCTCTTTCTCATTTTTAAAGTATCAGCTTAAAACCCACTTTATCCAGGCCTTCTCTGACCTCTCAATCTAAAACGGGTTTCACAGTACTCTGTGCCTTTGTCTCACAGCACATCACAATTTATAATTCTATCTGTATATTTATGTCCTTGTTTGATGCCTGAATCTTCCCTCTAGCCCAGTTTCCAGGAATGTTAGGCACTGCACATTTGTAAAATAATGAAAAGTCAAGTCTTTCTCCAACCTAAGGAAATTTCATTCTTTCTTTCATGTAGCTCCTCTTCTATGTGCCCAGTTTTCTTCTAGATTTATTCCCAACAGGTTTTATCTTTTCCCTTCCACTTCTAATTCTGATTGCTACTTATGATAATATGATATCCTATTCCTTGTTTTATCGGTAAAATACTTTCTTTGAGACTTTCACTAAGTCCAATTAGAGTTCCTTTGTTTTCTATTTTCAAAATTTTCTCCCCTTATTTTCTTTTCCAAGGAAGTGGAAGGTAGGGGGAGCATATTTGCTCTTAATACTTAATTAACTCTTTTTTTTTTTTTTTGTGCGGTATGCGGGCCTCTTACTGTTGTGGCCTCTCCCGTTGCGGAGCGCAGGCTCAGTGGCCATGGCTCACGGGCCCAGCCGCTCTGCAGCATGTGGGATCTTCCCGGACCGGGGCACGAACCCGTGTCCCCTGCATTGGCAGGTGGACTCTCAACCACTGTGCCACCAGGGAAGCCCCTAATTAACTCTTTTAAACTGTGTTCATATATCCTCTAATTTCTGTGCTACTCATTTTACCAAAATATGCTTATATTTGTTCAAAACTGGTAGCTGAGCTGGATTTCCACTGTACATGATAAAGTTAAGTTTCAGTTCTGCACTGTTTCTATCGAAACTACCTGAAAGTTTTAGGCATGTGGATGGGTGTCTTCTCTAGCTCTATCTAATGCTAAATTTCCCTATTACAATGATTAATTAGGTCATCCTGGTAGGAACCTAGGAGAAGGAGGGGTTCAAAAAGCCATGTTTTCTCATAAGTTCCCACGTGGACTCTGAAGGTGATAGACACAATATGGAAAACAGAGTGGAAGCAGCTCAAAGACAACAGCTTAAAGAGCCTCTTTCCTGAGAAATAATTCTGCAAATCTAATGTGATTTAACTTATAAAAACATATCAGGCTTCCCTGGTGGCGCAGTGGTTGAGAGTCTGCCTGCCGATGCAGGGGACACGGGTTCGTGCCCCGGTCTGGGAAGATCCCACATGCTGCGGAGCGGCTGGGCCCGTGAGCCATGGCCGCTGAGCCTGCGTGTCTGGAGCCTGTGCTCCGCAACGGGAGAGGCCACAACAGTGAGAGGCCCGCGTACCACAAAAAAAACCAAAAAACATATCTATAAAAAATAAAATAAAATAATAAAAATTCTCCGCACCAGATACATTTCATAAGTAACTAACACCCTAGAATGTTTACTGAGAAGCTGTCTTTGCTTAAACTTGGATGATTAATGAATAGGTTTTATGGGAATTTACTGTGGCTCTGCTTTGAAAATTAAAAAAATATTTCTAATTAAAAAAAACATATCTATAGATTCTGTTAAAAAGGAGATTTTAATCACAAAGCAAAATTATGACACAACTATACTGGGTGTTTTAAGGAAGGAAAAGAGTACACAAATGTGCTTGCGTGTCTCTTTGGGGACAGCACAGAATCAAAATATATGCCTAATGGAAATTTAACATTCTTTATTGATATAAATGAAAGGTCAAAGGAAATACTAGAAGAGTTGAAAGATTAATTAGAGAGTAACAGGGGAGTAGGGGACTGCCTTTTTTTAACATTAAGTAGAGCTACAAAGTTTTTAAGCTCTTACATCAGATGCATGTGTTAGTTTGATAAAAATAAAACTTCAAAATTAAAAATATAAAAGATGTAAGGGATACTATCAGCACTCATGTTAACTATCTTTAGATGTATATAGCACAATGTAAGAAAATGATCGGTGGAAATGTGATAAGCTACAAGTAATGTTTTGTAGAATATGCATGTGAACAGCTGCATGAAATGCTCTATTTAGACTGCATCATTTCCCTGTATTATTAAACTGATATAATTTAATATCAATCCAAAGTATATTTTATGTGTCAGCCCCAAGAAAAAAATATTTAGGTGAAAAATTCTCACTAATATGCAAAAGGTAAGTTCACACCACTAGGTAAGTTCACAGTACCTTTTAATAAATTATCATATTTGTCCTACCTTGCAACTGAGGAAACTTTCATCCAAGATAACAATAATTCTATCACCTTGAATTTATTTAGCACTTATCTTCCAGTGAGCTCATAACATTTAAAAATTGTCAGTTATTTTCATCAACAACAAATGCTTGTGCTAACTTTAAATTCAAACCAGTACACAAACACTATAACTAATGACAGATAAAAGAGTTGCAGGGAAGTTAAATGATGTGCATTAAAATCAGAGTTTAGTCAGTATCAATAGCAAAGTCACAAAGTGTCTGCAAATTCAAATTTACTGCTCAATGATTACATTCCATTTCAACTGAGTAACAAGTAACAGGCTGTCTTGCCCTTTAGCTCTCCAGTCCTTATCTTAAGATGAAGTCATTTAAATATCTCCTTTGACAGTATAAATAACTGTATTACACATCCTCACATAGATGGCTTTTTATTTACTGAATGAACAAATAACTGGGAGTGGATGTGTGCTTAAAAGGTAAACAAGTGTACAGATTTCTAATAGGTGAAAAACGTTGTCAAATATTATTTGTATAAAGCTTTTACTTCTGTTTGGAGATTTTTTTAAACATAGTGAAAATAAATTAATGTACCTTAACAAGTATTAGAAGTTAGTTAGACAATCATGTGGTTATAATGTTACTTAAAGGACATATGTCTGATAACTAAATTTAGAAAAATTAGATTTAGAGTTTACTAATCATATAAACATGGGAGGTTATCATCACTTTTAAAAGAGACATTTTAAAGTAATTATAAATGCAAACTTCAGTGAGAAGCAGATGTCCAAGGGAAATGGCCTAGGGAAGGGAAGGGAAGGGGAGGGGAAGGGAGGGGAGAGAAGGGGAGGGGAGGGGGAGGGGCGGGGGAGGGAGAAGGGAGGGGAAGGGAAGAGAACTAACAGCTGCATAGATGAATTAAGGAACTAAAATATAAGTCTTTACCTTGAAGCCTAACTTGACTAAATCATGTCGTTTTAAGGCAGCATGAGTACAGGTCATAGCAATGATTTTGGCTTCTTTCACCAAAAGGTATTTAGATCTGTCTAGTCCACTTCGAAGCAGTTCGGAGGCTCTAAACTCCTATGGAAGTGGGAGAACAATGAGATATTATTTTAGGAAAATAAACAGCTCATGCATACATTCATACAATCCAGTTTATGAGACAATATGAGAAATTAATATAAATATCTCATAAACTAAGCCTAAAGAATCGTAATTCTGTCCATAATTAATAAGGTACTAATTGAGTTCAAATAACTGACAGTCAAGCTACAATTTGGACTGTTTTTTTTTGGTATAAGATAAAATATTTACAGTATCAACAAAAATACTGAATAAAATATCCATCACCATTGTGTCTATATTACTCAAGGTCTCTCCAGGAAAACAGAAACTACTTCAAGCATTCATAACAAAGGGAATTTATTGCAGGGAGCTCGTTATACAGGTGATGGAGGAGCAGAAAAGCCAACCAGGGAATGGCAAAGTAAGCCAGAGACTGGCAACAGCAGGAAATTATGACCATTCCTAGGCTAGGAAGGATAATGAGGAGGAAGTGCTATCAGAGCCCAGAAACTGGGATACCAGAATAAGCTGGAGCTGCAGTGGGCCAGGCCAGCAGAAACTGGAGCCATGGAAGAGACGAAACCTCAGGCCGAGAGAGCTGGTGCAGAAATATCCTGGCTTCTCTCTTTATTCTATCTTTGCCACATTTCTCATTGGCTAAACCCAGACAAAAGTCAGCTGACATGAGAGGCTGGGAAATTAAAACTCCAAGGACCAGTCTCAGCCCTGACCATGGCAGAGGATCCCCATAGAGGAGAGGAGGGGAATGGACAGCAGATGGACGTGAGGAGCAAACAAGCCGGTGCAGAGCACCTAATATCAAGTTTTATCACATCGGAACATTATATCATACTTACTTCAGACTTTTAAACATTTTTTTTTTGTTTTTTAAAAAATAATTAAAGCATCACAGGTACAGGTGGAGGTATCCTGTATATATCCTTCTTCCCACTCTCTCCCCAGGCAGCTACTAGAAATTATATGTTTTTATCCTTTTACATTCTATTTATGTAATCATAAACATACTATAATACTGTTTTGCAGGTTTTAAAATTTTATTTATCATTATCATACTACATATGTATATACATTATTTATTTATTATTCTGTACCTACCATCCATCCATCTCTATCCACCTAACTCACACAATACATCAGTGTTTACTGAACATCTATTATGTGCCAGATATTGTTGTAGGAAGTAGGGATAAAATCATATCTAAAAGGTACAAAGACTAAAAAAGACACAGTCTTTGCCCTTTTTATATGAAGTAATCCTAAATGTTCTTACTGAGGAGTCTGAGCCTGAATGCGATCCTTTTACAGCATTGCTGTAGTCTTCCAATGATGTTTCCAATAAGGAATGAGAAAACTATGAAGCATCCCAGGGCTCCCTGGGTTCCAAATATATTCTTCTCTGTCCCCTTTATATAGTGGTGATTCTTATTTCACCTTAATAATCAGGAACAGTCATCCTGGCTAACACAGCAACCTCATTTTTTGTTTACAGATCAAAGGCATAAAGAACTTAGAATGGCCAAATTCCAAATCAAATCATTAAATCTCCTAATGAAAGCATTCCTTTCTTAAATACTAAGACTTTCACACCAGAAAAATGGGGATTCAATTCATATCTTAATTTTTACTTATTTCTTCAACTAGAAAAATAAATGCTTCCAATAATCTCACTTAAAAGTAATAATCTGGTTTGCTAGATTTGAATATTCCATTTACTACGTTTTAAAAAAAACAACAAACTAAGCTTAAAACCTTTAAAGGAAAGTTAAAAGAACTTGAGAACCCTTACCTCAAGCTGAGTAAAGATTTTCTTAATATGCCTGAAACATCCTTCAGCAATTTCCATGTCTTCTTCATAAGATCGGCCTTTAAAAATGGGTTGAGGGGCATTTGCAAAGTACTCATGAAAAGGGAAGAAAGTGGAGACTTCAGTAACATCTGGCAACGTGTTACCTTTATTTTTCACTTTGCTGATATACTCTTCCCAACGAGACATTACCTGTAAGAAAAAAAGAGACTTGAGGTTAAATTTGCCAGCTCTTATGTTTTAAATAATAAAATAAAAAATGAATTGAGTGAAAATAAGATTTGGTAGGTAAAAGAAAAGGAAAAGAAAAGCAACCTTTGACCCAACAGGACTATTGCTTATCCAAGTCACTGACAGGCTGCCCTTCTTTTATAAAAGTAACCTTTAAGGCTGTAGGAAAAAAACCTCTTTGATAAAAAATGTACGGATGGGATGGGAAAGAACCTCAGGATCATCTCATGGGACTTTATCTCAGACATTTCAGATTTTCCATGCATATTCAAAACAATTTATGATTGATGATCAAAAAAAAAAAAACCAACCAAACCTCTCTGGACAAAGAAATTCCTCATTTTTTCGCTATCTCAGTTTCTCTCCATATATGGTTAAGTTAGCTCTAGTAGCTTTTTAATCAATTTAGCACTTGTCAACCCTTCTCCTAGACCTTCATAATTTTTCCAATTCTCTTTAGTATACTTATAAAGAACTTCTGGTTAAGCTGCGTATATATTTGAAAGCTCATTTTATGACTTTTGTGACATAAGTAGTTCAACTACCTCCTGCTATAAATGTTAACTATGGCTCTACTCAGTTCCTACTTAATCTCCATTTTTGTAATTCTCTCAATTTTTCTGTTATAACTTCAGTGTTTCTCAAAGTGTGGTCCTTAGAAAGAATATCTGAAAAGCTAAATAAAAATGTAGATACCTGGTGCCACACCTTACTAAAACAAAGTCTCTGGGGACAGAGCTTGAGAATTCCCTTTTTAAACAACTTTCCCAATGTGATTATTGTGTGTTCAAAACTGTGAGGCCTTCTGAGGCCTCCAGTTCATATTTCTCAAATTTATTACTTAAGGTTCTATAATTTATATATTATTTCTATTACTTTTAAAACTAGCTTTCACTGAGAGCCTAGTGATTTTTATTTTGTGACAAACATGCATTTAAGCATGATCTTTACTCCATTATTCAAAGTTCTCAACAGTCTGAGTCTAATGCAGACAACTTTGCAAGATCATGCATATGTCCCGTGTTTCACAAGGAACCATGAAATCAGCTCATTCTGAACGGACTCAACTGGTTTACCTGCTTATAATGAGCATAAACTCTTTTTTTCATATATATTTTTACAATTTCAGTGTTATGATTTGTACCTAAAACATACAAATAGCATTAGAACAAAGAGAACAAATACAGTTATACATAAATCTTCATTATTTATGTTTAATCCATTTAAAATTATTAGTAAACCAGTTGACTTTTAAAGTTTATTTTTATTTATTTTATTTGGCTTTACATTTCTCATTAATTTTCACACCCCCAAACAAAAGCAAAAACATGCCTCTAAATTGAAGTCAAAGAATTTTTAACTTAAACTCCTACTTTGAAATTAATTCTAAAACAAAATGTACTTCTAGAAATTTAAAAAGGAAGTATGTTTTTCTCCATTACTTGATTAATATGCATAGCAAAAGCAAGTTAAAGAACTGTATTTGTTACCACTGGGTAGCTAGACTGGTTATAGTTCTATAGTAATGGAAAAAAATGAAAACAAAAAAAAAAAAAAAGAGAGAGACTAGAAACTTTGCCAATAGCAAGAAAAAAAGAAGAAAAAAGATTTTAAAGTAGCAACATTGGCCTTTCACTGAATGAGTCATCAAGCAAAGTTATTTAGCAAAGAAAAGTGAAGAGAATAGGAAATACAAACATTTAACACTCACAAATATAGCTTTGGCAATAGCATATATTTTAATCTACTCAATAAAAAAGTAAGCTTTCAAGAAAGGATCTCCAGAACCCATCCCAGTTTCCAACTGAAGACCATATTACAATAAAGTGTGATTGTAAAACCCTTAATCTCTTACCTGATATAAGAAGAAATAGCCTGCAGTTTCACAAGTATACGAAGCATCTCCTGGAACCCCTAGACTCTTCTGCAATCGTTTGACTTCTTCTAAAAGCTCTATTCTTCGAGCTAGGACATAATTAACTCTTCCATACCTAAAAATTTCAATTAAGCAAAAAGGCAAAATTACATAATGAAGAGACTTGCAAGGAAACTGTCAGCAAAATATTGAAGAAAATCATAACAGAAACGATAAATGGCCAAAGAGAAAAAAAGAACGGTAGAAAACATACGTTTATATTTACTATAAGTAACAGTTCTTGAGTTATTTTATACTAAAGCTACTTAAAATGTACCCTATGGATCAGGGCTGATCTGCAAATGTGTTAGTGGTCTGTGAGACAGGAAAATCAACTACATTACTAAACACACCTCTAGTTTGGCTTTTTTTTTTTTCTTCATAAAAAGACCTTCACAAAAAAGGAAACACTACAGTGTATTCAGGTGCTAGTTCATCTCATAACAGAATATAGTTTACAGATTGGCTACTCTTAATAGCACTATCATAAAAGTAGATTAGCTCTAAAGGTTTTGAAAAGTAATTTTAAAATTTATTTGATCATTCTTTGGCATAGAGCATGGAGCTTGGCATCTGGACCAAGTATGTTCATAAATGTTTGCTGAATGAGTAAGAAAACTAAAATTTGGAGAGTACCCGGCCCAGACATAGGTAGTTAAGAAAAAAAGTGGAACCAGAATTGGATCCCAAAGCCTATGTATACTCTTTCCACCATAAAAAGTGCCTCCTTCAATCCTTTAACACTAATTAAAAAAAAAAAAGAAGCAACATACAATGGAATTCTACGTAATATTTGCTCAATTATTCTGTAAATCCAAAACTATACTAAAAAAAATCTACTAATTAATTTTAAAAAGCAAGGTACAGGAACACCTCATTTTATTGTACTTCACTTTATTGCACTTTGCAGATACTGCATTTTTTACAAATTGAAGGTTTGTGGTAACCCTGCATTGAGCAAGTCTATCAGTGCTGTTTTTTCCAACAGCATTTGCTAACTTCATGTCTCTGTGTCACATTTTGGAAATTCTTGAACTATTTCAAACATTTTCATTATTATTACATTTGCTATCTGTGATATGTAATCTTTGATATTACTATTGTCATTGTTTTGGGGTGCCACAAACCATGACCATGCAAGATGGCAAACTTAACCGATAAATGTTGTGTGTGTGTTCTGATGTGCTCCATCAATTGGCCATTCCCCTGTCTTTCTCCCTCTCCTCAGGCCTCCTTATTCCCTGAGACACAACAATATTGAAGTTAAGGCCAATTAATAACCCTACAATGGCCTCTCAGTGTTCAGTTGCATGTCTCACTTCAAATCAAAAGCTAGAAATGATTAAGGATAGGGAGGAAGGCATGTTGAAAGCTGAGACAGGCCAAAAGCTAGGTCTCTTGCACCAACAGTTAATGAAGTTGTGAACGCACAGGAAAAGTTCTTGAAGGGAATTAAAAGTGCTATTCCAGGGACTTCCCTGGTAGCGCAGTGGTTAAAACTCCGCCTGCCAATGCAAGGGACGCATGTTTGATCCCTGGTCCGGGAAGATCCCACGTGCCGTGGAGCAACCAAGCCTGTGCACTACAACTACTGAGCCTGTGCTCTAGGGCCCATGAGCCACAACTACTGAGCCCGCGTGCCACAACTACTGAAGCCCGTGCACCTAGAGCCCATGCTCCACAATAAGAGAAGCCACCACAATGAGAAGCCCGCGCACCACAATGAAGAGTAGCCCCCGCTCACCGCAACTAGAGAAAGCCCACGCGCAGCAACAAAGACCCAACACAGCCAAAAATAAATAAATAAATAAAATTTTTAAAAAGTGCTACTCCAGTGAACACATGAATGATAAGAAAGTAAAACAGCCTTATTGTTGATATGAAAAAAGCTTTAGTGGTTTGGACAGAAAATCAAACTAGCCACAACATTCTCTTAAGCCAAAGCCTAATCCAGACAAAGCAAGGCCATAACTCACTATCTTTAATTCTAGTAAGTTTGAGATAGGTGAGGGAGCAGCAGCAGAAGGGTTTGAATCTAGCCAAGGCTGGTTCATGAGGTTTTAGGAAAGAAGCTGCCTCCAAAACGTAAAAGTGCAGCGTGAAGCAGCAAGTGCTGATGTAGATGCTGCAGCAAGTTATACAAAAGATCTAGCTGTGATAACGAAGGTGGCTACACTAAACAACAGATTTTCAGTGTGGAAAAAATACAGCTTTCTATTGGAAGAAGATGCCATCTAGGACTTCCATAGCTAGAGAGGAGAAGTCAGTGCCCATCTTCAAAGGTTCAAAGGACAGGCTGACTCTCTTGTTAGGGGCTAATGCTGCTGGTGACTCTAAGTTGAAGCCAATGCTCATTCACCATTCCAGAAATCCTAGGGCCCTTAAGACTTATGCTAAGTCTACTCTGCTTGCGCTCTGTTAATGGAACAAAGCCTGGATGACAGCACATCTGTTTACAACATGGTTTACTGAATATTTTAAGCCCACTGTTTGCACCTCCTGCTCAGGAAAAAGATTCCTTTCAAAATATTACTGCTCATCGACAATGCACCTGGTACCCAAGAACTCTGAAGGAGATGTACAATGAGATTCATGTTGTTTTCAGGCCTGCTAACACAACATCTGTTCTGCAGCCCATGCATCAAGGAGTCATTCGACTTTCAAGTCTTATTATTTAAGAAATACATTTTGTAAGACTATAGCTGTCATAGACAGTGATTCCTCTGATGGTTCTGGGCAAAGTAAACTGAAAACCTTCTGGAAAGGATTCACCATTTTAGATGCCATTAAGGTCATTCGTGATTCACTGGAAGAGGTCAAAGTATCAAAATTAACAGGAGTTTGGAAGAAGTTGATCCTAACCCTCCTGGATGACTTTCATGGGATTAAGACTTCAGTGGAGGAAAAAAAACTGTAGTTGTGGTAGAAGTAGCAAGAGAACCAGAATCAGAAGTAGAACCTGAAGATGGGACTGAATTGCCTCAATCTCAAGATAACACTTTAACAGATGAGGAGTTGCCTCTTATGGGAGAGCAAAGAAAGAAGTTTCTTGAGATGGAATCTACTCCTGGTGAAGGTGACATGAAGACTGTTGAAATAACCACAAAGGATTTAGAATATTACATAAATTTAGTTGACAAAGTAGCAGCAGAGTTTGGTAGGATTGACTCTAATTTTGAAAGAAGTTCTATCGTGGGTAAAATACTACCAAGCAGCATTGCCTGCTACAGAGAAATCAAGATTCAATCCACATGGCAAACTTCACTGCTGTCTCATTTTAGTAAGCTGCCATAGCCCGCCCCCCCCGCCTACCTTCAGCAACCACCACCCTGATCAGTCAGCAGCTATCAACGTTGAGGCAAGACCCTCACCAGCAAAGATTACAGCCTGTTGAAGGCTCAGATGATGCCTAGCATGTTTTAGTAATAAAGTATTTTTTAACTAAGGCATGTACATTGTTTTTTTAGACATAATGCTATTGCATGCTTAGTAGACTATAGTATAGTGTAAACAATACTTTTCTATGCACTGGGAAGCCGAAAAATCCATGTGACTCGCTTTATTGTGATATGCACTTGATTATGATGGTCTGGAACTGAATCTGCAAAGTCTCTGCGGTACGCCTGTACACAATTATAAATAATAGCATAGTTACAGATGATTACTGAAAAAGAGACTAATAAAAACTTGTTTGGGAGAAGTAGCATTACGAGTGATCACTCCCTCTCCGCTATCTTACTAGATACGAAAATTTTTGTTTACGGAAAGTGATATTAATTTTATTGTGAAACAACAGTCACTATTTTTCTTTTTAATTATGGCAAAGAGAGAAATATGAAATAAATGAACAAACAAGCACACACATTATTAACAAGATCTGGAGCTTGACTTTCCTATCAGAAAGCAAAAAGTACGTTTTTCCTGAGAAACATAGTAGCACCTGAAATCATTTTTAAAATTCTGCTGCTTTTCTATTATAATATCTTTAAATACCAGGAATTGAACTGTACCACACTTATAATTACACTATTTAGCATACCATGAGCACCCATACATTCGATGAATTATGGATTGGTAGATTTTAGAGTTGAGCCCACTTGTGTAAGTTAGGTTTAATAATAAGAAATACCCATGGGAAGAACTCAGGGAAGCATTACAAGCTGATCCAAAATTAAGAATCTACAGCCCTAAATAAATTAATGTGTTGATCTTGCCCTCTGACTTTTCAGAAGCTAAAATATTTTGGGAGGGGGACCTTCAAGATGGCAGAGGAGTAAGACGTGGAGATCACCTTCTACATGTGGAACAACTCCTACAGAACAGGTGAACGCTGGCAGAAGACCTCAGACCTCCCAAAAGGCAATAAACTCCCCACATACCTGGGTAGGGCAAAAGAAAAAAGGAAAAACAGAGACAAAAGAATAGGGACGGGACCTGCACCAGTGGGAGGGAGCTGTGGAGGAGGAAAAGTTTCTACACACTAGAAGCCCCTTCGCGGGCGGAGACTGCGGGTGGCGGTGGGGGGAGCTTCGGAGCCGCGGAGGAGAGCACAGCAACAGGGGTGCGGAGGGCAAAGCGGAGAGATTCCCGCACAGAGGATCAGGGCCGACCGGCACTCACCAGCCATAGAGGCTTGTCTGCTCACCCACCGAGGCAGGTGGGGGCTGGGAGCTGAGGCTTGGGCTTCAGTCGGATCCCAGGGAGACGACTGGGGTTGGCTGCGTGAACATAGCCTGAAGGGGGCTAGTGCACCACAGCCGGGAGGGAGTCCGGGAAAAAGTCTGGAGCTGCCTAAATGGCAAGAGGTAGTCCGCCTGCTGATGCAGGGAATACGGGTTCGTGCCCCGGTCCGGGAGGACCCCACATGTTGCAGAGCGGCTGGGCCCGTGAGCCATGGCCACTGGGCCTGCATGTGCGGAGCCTGTGCTCCGCAACGGGAGGGGCCACAACAGTGAGAGGCCCGCGTACAGCAAAAAAAAAAAAAAAAAAAAAAGGGAAGAGGCCACTGTTTCGTGGTGCGAGAGAAGAGGGGATTCAGAGCACCACCTAAACGAGCTCCAGAAACGGGCGCGAGTC